ACAATAAGCGAACATGATGATTTTTGTTTCAAATTGAATTTGAAAACTTTGTGTTGTTATGAACTTAATTATTATTCAATTGCTGTAATGAGATAAACATGTCAATTAAGTTACTTATTATGCACTTAGAGGTTAACTAGGGTAGAGTGAGTGTGGCATTTAGAGTGGAAAAGATAATTATTTGAAAGGAAAATCTCTTCTTAATAATCTTATGTAGGTTATAAATTAAAGTGATGTCCCTAATTCCAAGGACAGATGGATGTGAATGATAAAGGAATTTATTTTGTTAAATTATTTTATACATACTTACAACAGGAAGAACATGAAGGGGACAAAATGCTCCTTAAAATATATGATATGAGATTGTTCCATCCAAAGTTTTTGTATGTGCATGGAAAGTTATAATGCAATGAATGCCTACAAAGGACAATACATGTAAATGAGAGGCTTCTTCAATTCAGTAAGATAATGTATGCTATCTCTGTAATGAGATAGAATAATCAATAAATATATATTTTTTCATATAATTTTTCTCATTACGTTCAGCTGAAATGTTAGAATTGATTTGGGTATCGAGTAGTAATACCAAGAGAGGGTCATAATATCTTTTACAATATTGGAAGCTTCTTGCAAGGAAAAAGAGATGGTTACAATGATGGAATTATATTTAGTTTAAAACTATTTGGTCCTTATGGCTTCATAAAATTGACTATTTTAAAAAAATAATAAAAGCTCTGATATTGAACAAATATTGGAATACATAAAATTGAGGTATTCAAGCAAAATTTTCAAAAGATAAAAATTCTAAATTTTAAATGGACAAAAAAAATTCTTACTTTAGATGAGTTGTTTAAAATCTCTTATTAGTTTGTTTAAGCTTTTCAGAATCGTTTGTAAAGCGATACATGTGCATATAGTCTTAGGCAGATGTCCAAGACATAACTCACTACAATTGTTTTTTAAGATGGTAGTTAGACTATGAATACTAAGAGCAAACAATACCAATAGAAAGAATAATTTAAACTAACTTCAAATAGATCAAAGAGCAGAAAATACTAGAAGTTAGCCGTAAAAAGTTGAAGTAGACATTAAAAAAAAAAAGACGTTAACGTGGAAATGATAAAAATGACATTCTATAATCTATACGACTGCACCAGAAAAAAAAAAAGAAGAGAACAGAAGAGCTAAAAAGTATCTAAGTACAAAAAACTTATGGACATATCACAAAATTATATCAACATCAGCCAGAGTATGCTATTTAGAAGTGAAACATAGTAAAATGTAAAATTACACTTGTTTATAGATCGTTACATGTACATTTTTTTATTAATTATATTCTAAATTTTAGAAATTAAAATTATTACTTCATTTTAATTTTTACTTAATATAAATTTTTATATTTTTTGTGAATTATAAATTTTACTTGAAATTATTTTACATTTATAAATATTTATTTATTATTTTGATACATATTATTTATAGTTATAGAAATAAGTCAAAATATTTTCTTAAAAAAATTTATTGTTTAAAATAATTTTATTATACATACAATTATTTATAAAATTATAAAGTTTAATTCTTTAGTTATTAAATTATATGCATATTTTTTATACATTAAAATACTTGTGTATTATATAGACTAATATTAAACTAGTAAAATAGTAATTCGATGAGTCTAACACACAAATGATAGTCTCTAACCCAAACAATCCTATGGCTCTTTATAAATAGAAGATATTTATGTGAAAAAAAGTAAAGATAATGGAATGCAACTTTAAATAAATGAATGTTATTTTTTAATGTGTGTTATTTTATTAAAATAATTATTAATCCCTAATTCTTACAATTAGATACTTCGACATTATTAATATCATATAATTGCTTATTTAAAAATTAGATAACAACTTATTAGATGGATAAAATTTGCTTAACAAGGAAAAAAAGATAAAAATTGGAAAGACCAATTGAATAAATATCAAAATTGAGAGATTAAAAGTGCAATTAAACTTTGAATTTTTTCATATAAAAACTGAAAGAAAAAAAAGGTTATGTATAAAAAACACAATAAAAAATGTATTATGTACGTGGACTAAAATAAAAATATATATCTAAATATGAGATGTGACGAAAGTTAATGTAAACAAAATTTTTTGTTCATTTCGAAACTTATTTATGATTTGTTTTATAGAGACTAAATCATAAAAATAAATTTCATGCCAGGACTTATTTACTACAGTGCTTTTTACCCCATTCCGTCAATTTTTGCTTTAATATTTAACATTTTATTTTTTGCGGCTTTTGAATATGTAAGCACACCCGACCCTTAGACTAGGAATGCTTTCCATGTAGTATTTAGAAATTCTTTACTTTTAAAAATTCAATTTTTTTAATTCAGTTTAGTTTTCTAAATTTAATTTAGTTCTTAAACTTTTTTTCAATTAATTTAATTTTACTCCATTTTTTTTTTAATTTTATCGATTCAAAGTATATTTCAATATTTAATGTAAATATGTATCCTTAAAATAATACTTAAAAAATGACAATGATAGATGTGTGAAATTTGGTCAACAATCGTGGCTTGAATGTGGTTAGTAGGCGCTTAAAATGGAGAGAAATGCGAGTAATGGGCTAGTCAAGAATGGTTTGCAAAAAATATTAAAGGGATCTTTAATAGTGTTTTAAGAGTTTTGAACATTTGATCGATAATGAAATGAAAAAGAAGCACATACTAAGAAAATATTTAGTCTAAAATAGTATTATTTAGAAAAATTTCATTAAATTGAGAGATAAACCAAAGTTAGGAAAAAATGTTAGCACAAAAAAACTAGCGGACTAAATTGGATAAAAAAAAATTAAATTAATTAGAGAAATAAATTGAAAAAAAAAAGATAGGTATTCAAATTAAAATCTAAATTAAATTTAGAGAAGAAATTATATTTTTTCAATAAAAAAACTATTTTAGGTTATTATAATTTGCAAGATTAGCCTGTATTGAGATTTTGGCGCTTCATACACTTCTTTTTAATGTATTTGATTTATAAGATGAAAATAAAAGGCTCATAAGACAGAAAAATTTCAAGAATTATTATGTAAATAAAATTTTAAATAATGTATATATACATAAATATGTAATTTAATAATGATTATTTAATTATATTTTAAATAATACAACATTAATTAAAATAAAGTAAAATAATAATTTTTTTAAAAATATATGAAATGTGGATACTTAATTTACTTGATAAGATTTTCAAATTCAACAGTTTCACACATGATCTTATCACACACGTTTGCATCTGTGTGTATTCGGGGGTGGTGTACTGTGGTATTCATTTTATTATATTTGAATTTCCTGCATTGGTTTTTTTATTAATAATTATTTTGCGGAAAAGAACCTTATTCCCAACTGTTAGGACTTGTTGTCGAATAACCATAAACGAGTTGTGATTAAATAATATTTTGTTTTATCTATTCATTCACACATGAAAGCCGTAGTCTCATTATTACTGTTCACCACATGACATGCCTATCGAATAACAGTATAATTAGGCATTACCTTTTCTAACAACGTACAGCGAAGTTTAACAGACCTTTGTGTGGAAAAGTTTCTTCTTCTTTAATTAAAAGTTTCTTTTAATTAACTCTGTTTTTCCATTTCTTTTGGATTATATATATATATATATATATATATATATATATATATATATATATTTCTTTGTCAGTTTTTATTCAATTTGTACAAATTTCTGCTGCAAGACTAACCTCCTTGATAGGCTTAGTTCATTTTGGGAAATAATTTTGTAAGTTTAATCCAAAGTTATGATAAGAATAATCGTGGCAAATAGCACACTTCATTAGTTACCAAGTTATTTTTGTTTTCATTTTTGACATAGGCTCCACCACTAGACTGGTGTCTAAAGGATCCATGTTCAGAGACCAGGAAATATGGAGAAGAAAGAGAAAATGGATGCTGTTGCATCATAGGTAACCTTTGTTTGAAAATTAATAATGTTTACTGAATATTAAAAAGACAACAAAATGTTGTCCTTTTTTAATTTAAAATACACATATATAATTATAACGTCAATTATTTTAATGTTCAAATAACGAAACTGGTTAATTGTACGTAAACAAGTATCCTAATCAAGGGACCTAGGTTCACGTGTGGTTCCTCTTAATTTACTTGTACGACAATGATATAATATCACATAAACGGTAAAATTTTGGTGGGCAAACAATTTATAGCATTGTAGAGGGGCATGCATGTACAAGCAAATTAAATGATCATAGCATTGAACCATACAAAACAAGAAGAATTATACTGCAATAAAAGTGATCCCCCCAAAATAAAAACATATGCAGAGTATATGCAAAAAAGGTGGGAATAAGATGAAATTGTAATAAATAAGGAGGTATGCATGTAGAAATATGAAAGCTGGAAGAAAATTGTGCAAAAGTGATTAACAAAATAAAATAAAATAAATAAATAAATAGAAAGGGTTGGAAAGGCTCCTTTGAAAGCCATTCGTTTGTCCTTTGCTTTACAACAATTAAATTTGATTAGGTATAAAGAACTCAACAACTCCATGAAAATAAAAAGACCAACCCAATTGGCACGAAAATTCTCCAACACCAAGGATGAATATTTTTGTTCCGAAATATTATTACCACTCACAGTCCATTTCAGAGTGTAGTTTAAGTGGATGGAAGTGAAAGATAGATAAATAAAATAAATAAAAATATATAGATGATGTAATAAGAAAAAAAAATTAAAAAGAGAGAATAAATAAAAATATAATTACTCCTTTGATTAGTTAACAGCTAGCAAAGGCACCAGTTAATATTTTCTCTTGGTTATGTACTTCAGAAGTCCATGTCATGTGCTCTCATAGTGACGTCTACATGCAGCTTCGACACTATTATTATTCTATATATAGAGAGAACCTCACCCTTCACATTCCACACAGACCCATATTCAATAACCTAGCTTTTTGGCAACTATGGCTACCCATGATAAGAATCCAAAGTTGGTTTCTAAAATTGCCATTATAGGCGCTGGAGTAAGCGGCATAGCTGCTACCAAACAGCTATCCGATCACAACCCTCTTGTTTTTGAGGCCTCTGATTCAATTGGTGGGGTTTGGAAGCATTGCTCCTACAATTCCACCAAGCTTCAGTCACATAGACGTGACTACGAGTTCAGTGATTTCCCTTGGCCTCAAAGAGACAATTCGGAGTTCCCTACCCACTTAGAGGTTTTGGATTATTTACACTCCTATGCTATGCACTTTGATTTGCTTAAGAACATCAAACTCAACTCCAAGGTTGTGGAAATCCGGTTTGTTGGGTCCCAAGAAGATGCCCCTCATTTTGGAGGCTTACCTAGTGACCATGGAATCCCACTTCCTGGTCATCCTGTTTGGGAACTCGCTGTGTTGACCAATCAATCACACACCATTCAGGTATTTGTTCACTTTCAACTCAATTGGCTTCTATTGTTCTCTAGCTAGGATGTCAGAAATAAAAGCAAGAATTGTAAATATAAGCATGATACGATGAACTCTATTTTTCTTAACATCGCCTAATAATCCCTTCTTTCTTAATTACACATGCTTATACTTTTGATTCTTTATTATTGATGTGAGATTTTGGTTTTTCAGAAAACTTTTACGTGACTTTTGTGTCTTAATTCATTTTAATTAATTGTTATTCTCTAATTTTTTTTATAAGAGATATTTTAGAAACTTTTATAATTTCTATGAAACATTTGTTATATTTTTCTCATTTACCTTCGATAAATAGAGTTGATGAAAATCTAAATTAAAATTAAAAAAAAAAGATAAATAGTGTTACAAGAGTTAAGTTCAATAATATTAAATGAAGGTAAATTGTCATACTATAATATTTTTGAAAGTTAAGAATTTCAATTAACTTTAGCTACTTTTATTAGCCTGTATAATTTAGTTAAATGTGCATTATTATAAAAATGACTAGAAAGAGTATAATTATTTTTTTTCTCATTTTTTTTCTCCCTAGATCTCCCTACGCTATTATTTTCTACTAAAAAATGTTGGGGACTTATGATATATTTGGAATTTGATGTGATTTTAAAGGCTTAAAGTTTTTAAACAAACTGGCGAAGCTTTTTAAGAAAATTGAGGGAATTTTTTGAAAGTGATGTTAGGTTTTTAACGAAAAAATTATTTATTTTAATAAATTATAATATTTTGAATGTGAATTTAATTAAAAGATAGTTTAAATCAGTATAATCAATTTAATTTATAGAAATTTTGAATAAAAATAAGCATCTAGAGAAATTGAAATTTGAGAATTTAAATTCAAAAAAATAAAATAAAACCAAAAAATATTCACAAATAATGATTGACATGAAAGTGGATTGCATCGAGGATATAAATTCTAAAGTCGTCATTTTATAGGACATGTACATCTAACCATCAATTTGGTCCTAATTTCATATTATGTTAATTAATACGGGACAAAAGGCGAAATTTTTTTTGCAGCTTCTTGTATTCTTACTTAGCCTTTTAGATCTTTCCAATTTTAGCAAGCAACTTTTTCTGAATAATATAAAATCTTAGATTAACTGATATGAAATTTATTGAGAATCTGTGCTCTTAATTTAATAGATTTTACTCATAATTAATAATGTATTAAGAAAAATATAATAAAAAGTATGTTATTAATATTTTTTAAAAATAAATTAGAATGAAAAAAACAAAATACTAAAACTATTATTCTTTAGTTAAATTAAGTAAAATAAGATATAATAGGATATAACACGATGAATAACGATCTTAAATTGTTATCTTAATGTCTTATGTTATATGGATCGAATACCCCTTATACTCCTATATTATATTTATTAATTTTCTTATTAAAAAAGATCCAACCCCCTCCAATTATGGGATATGAGGTGGAGACACTAATTTTATCTATTCCGTCATTAAAGTGTTGAAAAAAAATATTGAAATGGTAACTTTGTGCAATTCTATCTTTTATTCACTTTAGTAAAGTTTATTAAGTTTATGTTATTTCATTGCATCAATATAAATATTCAATCATTACCTATTACATTGTATTTTTATTTAGATGATGCTATAAAAAAAATATTGTATTTTTATTTGTACATTATTGAAATTCTCAGCTATAAAATGTACCACGGCCATGCACACAATCACTTGATCTTTAAATTGTAGGCATAATATATGCATTAATTTTATGTGGGCTAATAATGATTTGCCTATTACATTTTAGTGGTACGCCTTCGAGTTTGTAGTGGTTTGCACCGGAAAATATGGTGACATACCCAAGATTCCCAAATTTCCATGCAACAAAGGCCCTGAGGTGTTCAAGGGTAGAGTGCTGCATACCCTTGATTACTGTAAACTTGACCAGCAAAGTGCTACTAAACTTCTCGCCGGAAAGAAGGTTGTGGTTGTCGGTTTTAAAAAGTCAGCTATTGATTTAGCCATGGAGTGTGCACAGGCAAACAAAGGTAACTATCCACTTTAATTTAATTTTTGTTACGTGAGAAGATAATTTTACAACAAAAGTTACTTTAATGGTAAAAGCTATTTATATAACTAAATGTTCAAACTAAAAAAATATGTATACAGAATTTAATGACAAGAAAAAAATTATAAAAGATAAATTTAAAAGGTGTGAAATTACAAGTGGCTAAAGTTTAATTTACTAAAAGAAAACTCATTTTCTAATACTGTTTTGTACCATTGAAAAGTTTATACAACGGCAAGATGTAAGAAAATATAATTATTTTGTTGCTAGAGTTATTATTTAACAATGGTTATATATCGGCTTGAAAGCTTTTTAGCTAATTTTCACTCGCAATGATCCATGCAGTAGACTATCTATATATATACCGTTAATTCTTGCATGCCTTCAAAATGGTTAGCTTATGGTTTTTTCATATTATAAACATCAAATACAAGTTTTCAGTTATTGTTTCATTACAAACTTATACAAAGTTTAAAGGTGCATCGAACATTTTAATAGTAAAAATACTTTATATATATATATATATATATATATATATATATAAGAAAGGAAAATTGATCATAATTAAAATAAATGAGAATTTAAACCCACGTGTGAAATGAAAGAGAAAGAAAAAGAAAGATTTCTAATTGACATGCTACTTTGAAAAGTATACGTGGAACGGTGGACGACCAATATCGTTCCCTTAAAAATAAGAAGTGCACATTCAATTAGCCCATGATCTAAATTATATTAAAATTGACTTAACTTATTTATTAAACAATTTAAACTAGTACAGTTTAAGAAAGTAATAGTCAAAACAATTAAATTTTAAATAATTAAAAAGCAATTTAAGTTAAATATTGGTTTATTTTATATTTTTTTATATTTAATTGCAACATTTTAAGACTACATATTTATCAAAGTATTTAAGACCTAGATTGTGTATAAAGAATTATGTCTAATAATTAGCCTATTTAAACATATATTATTAACTTACTTAAAAGAGTTTAGTATAATGTAGATTTTTGGATAGATTTTTAAGTTAAATTAGACTTTTAAAATGATTAATGAAATCTTAAAAACTTATTTTCAATAAAAAAGTCAAATTCACATATTATATTTTAAAAATAGGTCAAACAAATATTTAAGGTAAATCCTAATGTACTCTTACTCATTTTTTGACCCTTAATTGCCTCCTATATTTTGTGTTTTAAAATTAATTATATATTATGTGTGCAAATAGATACTATTTGTTTAAAGCAATAACGTCTAATCTATTTGATTAATTTAAAATTTTTGTTCGATGAAGAGGCTTATTTAACTAACTTAAAATATTTTTTTTAAAAAAAATATTGTCACATAATATTTAAATTTATACAATCTTAATTTATAATTTTTTTTTCATTTATATCTTCATTTTTTAGAATTTTTTTTAATAAAATATAAGAAAATATAAAAAGTAATATAAATTAATATATCATTGCAATTTATTTAATAAAAATATTTTTAAATAACAATAAATTTACAAAATTAGTAGGTTTATCTATTCATTTCACTAAACATACACTTAAAAAGTAATATGTTAATCGTATGATTGAAGTATTTAACTCATCGAAAATAATGCGTGTGTTCTCGAAATTGAAACATGATAGTGTATGATAAATTTTAGAGAATAAGTATGAAGCTTATAATTATTGATGAAAGATTAATTTCGATTAGTGATTCATATAATTTTTGTTATACATTACTTACCAATTTGTGTTATACGTATACCACTTCAATATAAGAGTTTAATCTTTGAGGAAATTATTATCATAGTTAATTTATTCTAATAATATGATAATGCAGGATCCTATGACTAAAAATTTCTTATAAGGTTAACAGATTCAAGTTATTTACTTAAAAATAAATGTTTTAGAATGAATGCCAAATAATAATTTATGAATCCATAGCAGCCAACTCATTAATTAACCTTTGCATCAGTATAATTTATTTTATTTTATAAAACGCACTTTATAAAGTCAAGTAAATCAACATTTATAATAAATATTGTCAAAGATTTCCTTTTTGACTCAATTGCATCTTAATTCCACAAATATTATGAAGCTAAAATAACAGAAGAGACATTATTGTCCCTTCTTGGGTTGTTCTTCAACTCACGTAATATTCTAAGAATGGGATACAAACTGATGAATTTTAGAATCACTTGGGTTGTTCTTAAACTGGGGGCGGCCTCTAGAACCTGTCAATTTTTTTTCTTGGTCTTCTTTTTCTATGTTTTAAAGCACATTTCTCTTATATATGAAAGTCAAACAAAACAAAGTAGTGCATACTTGTTCTACCGGAAAGTAGTGCATTGTTGTAAGTAACAAGTGCTTTTTTAATTTAAATTCTAATTGAATCAAACTTTGGTAAAAGCTATTTTTAAACTACTAAAAATATTTAAATGTAGACATAATTTAATCTAATTACAATTTTTTTCTCCAAAGCAATATATACGGATATATTTAAAATGATTCTAGAAGTGTGTTTAGTAATATAAACTTATAATTTATTTAGTGACCAATTTTATCTTATTATTTTGGTTAATGAGATTAGAATTTTTGGTGAATAATAAATTGATAAAATTTGTAATTATTATAATTTAACTTCTAAAAAGCTACTTTAAATAGTATTTATCTTATTAAAAGCTACTTACTAATAATTTATTTCATTTTTAAACAATTTACATTCAAATAAAATAATCCTAACTTACTCATGTCACTTGCATAGAACACAACCCATATTTGCTCTCTCCTTCACTTCTTATTTAAGTATTTGATTAGTATTAAATAAAAAATTATTTATTTAATTGAACACTTCATATTATATATATATTTAAATTATAGAAGACGTTTTTATGTATATATATATATATATAATATTAGTGTAAAAACTTTTACACCTAATCTGAATTTTTTATTTAATTTAAATTAAACGATCAATAAAGTAATAAATTATAACCCATTAGATTTAAATTAAATGGAAAGTTCAAATTAAGTGTAAAAATTTTTAGACTTACATTAGTATAAAAAGATTATGTCTCTCTATATATATATATATATAATTTTACCCAAAGATAAATTTAATGGGAAAGAATGAGTTTTGAACCCTCTTCCCAAAATATTTCTCTCTTTCTATATATATATATATATATATATATATATATATTTTTTTTTTTTTTTTTATTTTTTTCTTTCTGTCTTAAATATTGACATGATAGTACGATGCTTAAAGGACCTCAAGGGCAACCGTGCACCATGCTAGTGAGGACTTCGCACTGGTTAGTTCCTCATTACTGGATTTGGGGATTGCCATTTTCCTTGTTCTACTCAACAAGAATTTCTCAGTTCCTCCACGAAAGACCCAATCAAAGTTTAGTCAAAGCCTTTCTCTGCCTCATGTTTTCCCCGTTGGTAAATTCACATTCTTAACTTATGTTACCCCTTGAATAAAAGCTCTTGTTCCCAAAGCTACATATATGCTTCTAATATTGGCTTTCGGCTATTAATATTAATAACATCCTTCAACAGAGACGTGGAATTTCGAAGTTTATTGAGTCCTACTTGTTGTGGAAACTCCCCTTGGATAAGTATGGGCTAAAACCAGATCACCCCTTTGAGGAAGATTATGCATCTTGTCAAATGGCTATCGCGCCAGAAAATTTCTTCTCTGAGGCTAGTAAGGGAAAAATTGTCTTAAAAAAAGCATCAAATTGGTCATTCTGGAGTGAAGGAATTGAACTTGAAGACAACACTAAACTGGAGGCTGATGTAGTGGTTCTTGCAACTGGCTTTGATGGGAAGAAAAAGCTCAAAAGCATCTTACCTCAGCCTTTCCGCAATTTGTTAGATTACCCATTTGGTATTATGCCCTTGTATAGGTAAAGGACTATTTTATTCATTGCTCTAGCTCTCACACATAAATAATTGAGATCTAATTGTTAAGTGCATATTTGAATCAGCTTACTTTTTAAAAATAATCTCCTATTTTTAAATCTTTTGAAAAATAAACAATTATTTCTCTAACATATTTTGTTACAATATATGGGCTAAATCATTCTATCTATGACAGGGGAACTATCCATCCATTCATTCCAAGTATGGCTTTTGTGGGTTATATTCAAAGTGCTTCAAATCTTCCCACTTCAGAGATACGCTCGATGTGGCTCTCTGGATTAGTAGATGAAAAATTTAAGCTCCCGAGTGTTGAGAAGATGCTTTCACAAACTCTTAAGGAGATGGATATCATGAAAAGGTCAAGTAGGTTCTATGAAAGGCATTGCATTTCCACTTATAGCATCAACCATAATGATGAAATATGTGAAGATATGGGATGGAGTTCGTGGAGAAAGAAGAATTGGATCACAGAGGCATTCTGTCCTTATGGCAGTGAAGACTATAAGAAAGAAGATTGAGAGCGTAATAACCATGCATCCTATTTGTGGTTGCATGAATAGTATTACAGTATGATGATATATAAGAAAAATAAATGCAAGTTATCTCGTAGAAATATCTAGTGTTATATTTGTTCCAAGGCTTGTATAATTAAATTTGAGGAAGTGAATTTGGAAATGTGACATTCTTATGTTTGGTATAAGCTTCAATATAACATTTTGGAATACTCTAAACATGTTTCCTTACAATTTTATTACCTGATCATGTTGCTTTTGCTTATTTTTAATCAACAAAAAAGAAACTACTAAGGATACTCAAATCATATACAAAGAAAAGGTTCTGGAGAATTACCAAGATTTTAAGCATAGCACGAAGTGGTTTCTTAGAAGAATCATAGAAAAAAGTATAAATTAAGCCCTTCATTTTCTCTCTAAGCCAAGACCAAGACCAAGACCTAATATTCACCATCTCTAAGACATCAGTCACAGTCAATGTCTTTCTATGACTACAAAGAGTAGCAAACCATACACTTGTCGAGGCCATTTTGGCTTTTTAACCTTTGCAGAATGCCACAATGTTAAATGAACCGTTTAAAATCTCAACCAGTTGTTCATACACTTGTATAGTACTTTTATCTCTTCTACCTTTTCTTTTAATTTTTCTCTTCCTATTATATTACGTCAATATTATATATTTTACTATCATCTAATTAGAACAACGAGAAATTTGTTTCAAAATATTTTATTTAAACTAATTCTAAGTTGTTCATTAAATACAAATTTAGTTTTGTGGGTGATCTTATTTTTTTAGTATTTAATTTACGATATTAAAATATAAACTATTTACATTTAATATTACTCATTTTATTTTAAAATATATCTAATTGAATAGAAGAGATAGTTCAATTTTTTTTATATTCAAATAAACTTTTTAAAAAATATTGGATAATGCTTTCCTATCATTTCTTTTGAACTCAAGTCTTGTATTACTAGTTTTCCAAAAATCTCGACTTTGTTATAGACTGGGCATTCGGACAGTCAGTGACGATACTTTCACTTTTAACCACGCAAAACTTGTGGTCAGATTATGTGTTCGCACCGACCCCATCTCTAATCGCTAAATGAAATCTTGCCTTGTGTAAGACGCGTAATTCGTAAAAGGACATTTTCCAGACACAGACACAGAAATGGACGTATACTTTTCTCTGTTATTGACTTTTTCACTGTAGTGTATTTGTGTATCAAATACTATAATTACATGTTGCTTCCCTTCTACTGCGACCTAACATTTCTTGATTTCCTTTTTGAATCGTCTAATTGATAATTACAAAAGAATAAGCAAAAGTTGTTTGAATTTCATTTCCTATATCAAAAGTACTCCTTGTGAAAGTCGAAGCGTGTAGTTGTCTTGTGGCTCAGCTCAAGAGATAGCTTCTTTAGTTCCTTTGCCAACACCGGCATCCCGCAATAAAACACCCCTGCAAGTTTTATACATCGTTTGCCTGTTAAAATTTCACTAATACTATATAGTAACTAAAAATTTCACTAATACTCGTCTCCTTCAAACTATTTGATTCCTTCCAAATCCTCCCTTAAACACTCACCCCTAAACCGTATCTCTCTGTACCTGCTTTGAATGCAAATAGGGATGAATGGTTTGTAATCGACAACAATTTGTTTTGAATTTAGAAATACCCTTCAAATGAGTGTGAAATGGGTAGCGGTAAAAAAGAGACAGAATCATGAGGGAAAATGGAAAAACAAGACATATAATAAATAATGTGATGAAAATAAAAAAAATGAATATAAGAAAACGGAAGTCTGAAAATAATATAATAGTAAATTTATTGATACTTTGCTTTGAGAATTATAAATAGATATTGATATTTTGATTTAAGAATAATTGAATGTTTAACTGGTTAATGATATTAGAAAAGAGGTTAATATGTCACTATTTTTTGACCTAATTGTAACTATTTTTCCTAACAGTTGTCTTATGTTGGTTATCTTTCTTACATTAACATGCGACAAGTTTTCTGTGTATGTAAAATGTTAGAAAATTGGGGATTTGACCCCACTTCTTTTATTAAAAAAAAAAAATTGTTAGAGAACTGTTTTGATAATATATCGATCCTTTTCGCCACGATCTTTGGAACATATTGACCATATATACTTCCTCGTAAGGTAGGTCGTTCACATCAGCACCTACTTCTACTTCATCCAAATTTTTACTCTATCAAATGAGAGAAGAAAAAAACAATTTAAATTTAAATTAAAGAAAATTAGAAGAAAGAGTTTAATTTTTTTAAATATTTTTATTTTTTAAGATAAATAAAAAACACGTTATTATCTGTATTTTTCTTCTTCTTTAGTTTACTTCTCTCATTGCCTCCTTCCCTTGTCTTCATTTTACTTCATAAAAATATTAATATTTTCAATTTTAAATATGTTTATACTGGTGTTAGGCCCATCCCAGAGGACTCAAGTTATGCCCTGGCTCTCATGTGAAGCATAGCATTGGTGTTTAATAACAGTTGTTGTACCCATACTTTAGGAAGAAACAGGAAAATTGAATATCCTTTATGAGAAATGGTTCTGCATTGGGTAGCAAGTAATTTACCTACTGTAGAATACGGATGTTTAGAGGCAATCTTGGTGAAAACTTCCTTCCAATCAGGCCTTGCAAAGTGTGTCCTTACCTGAAACGGGAAAGCAATATAAAAAAGATCATGTTCAGGTGTTTGATTAATTTGTACTGAAACAGTAAAATTTGTTCCTTCTGGTCACAACTGAAAATCTTACTCGAGTGCCTGATAAGATGTCAACACCATGTTTGGCATGGTTCAGTGCTTGGATCATGGTGATTAAGGTTGATCTCGCATCCCCTTCTTCGTAGACACTAGTAAGATAGTTGTGAAGTTCAATTTGACCCTAACTCATAGGAAATAAATAAAAATAAAGCAGAAAACAAGTCCAGTTAGTGAGGTGCTTCATGACAGAAACCACACTTTTCTTTTTGGTATATTAGATTAACTCTATACGTAGACAGGAAAGTGGAGGCTTATAAACATATTACTTTGTGGTCCATCTCTGCAACTTCGTCCATTACTCCTCTAAACCATTCAAAAGAACCAGGTTCCCTTGTAACCCAGTAGAAATAAGCATTTGTAGTCCTTCGTGATCTCTTGTTTCCTCCTGGCGTCAAATTGGAGGATGTGAAACTATTGAAGCTCTCATCTGATCTCGTTGTTTCTGTGTTTGACTCCTGCATAAAAATTGAAAACTGAAGGTAAAAGTGGAATCAGCTTTGTGAAAAGGGAGCCAGAGTATGGAAAGTACCGCTAATTCATCCATTGTTCTAGTGTCACTGATAAGATCTCTTAGAATGCTAATGAAAGGAGTTGCTCCTATTCCTAGTCCTATGAGGAGCAGTACATCAAAATTCTGGTAATCTTGTGCTGGGGCTCCGTAAGGGCCATCAACAAGCAGTCTCGGTTGTCTGTGTGTACCAAAACTCTATTTTGAGTAATTTATAATCGATTAATATGCATGAAAAAAAGTATTTTGAACTTTGAAGAAATAATCGTTTATTTCTTCGGCTTTCTAAGAGAACTAATGAAAAATATACACTTATTTCTCAAAATATAAGTTGAACTAAACAAGTTATTATACTTGCCCTCTTTGATCCATTTGCATTAGTTCACCGAACGTTGCCCGACAATTAACCGGAGGTAATTTATCTTCGTCGTCTTCGGTGAGGAGAAACTTAAGTTCTTGGGTCCAGTCTCCAACTGTGCGAATGTGAACACTCAGGTACTCATCTCCAGGCGCTGAGGTAATGGAGAATGGGTGCCTAAAATATTTGTCACAAGATGTTACGTGATTTGGATGTGCGGCTATGAGATTGATGATAAATTGATAATAGACCTAAGAACTAGAACTAGACTCACCATTCAAAGGGAGAGATTTTTGGGCATTGTAAAAATATGTACTGTCCGCTTTTGTACTTAAATCCATTAGGCTTGGACATGATTAAGCTGAACACATTTCCTGGTAGCACCGACACCTGCTATGTCAAAGTTAGGAAATTTATATGGAAAAATTCTTTTCTCAAGGTTTGTGTCCCTTCTTTTCTACCTCTATCATCATTTATTGCTTTTTTTTCAACTAGCACACTTCCTTGCATATCCCACGAGACTGTCTAAAGGGGAACATTTCCTCCAATTCGAACATAGAATCAAATATTTATATACTCAAAAGAATTGATCTTGTTAGTTAAAATTACTGCGAAGAAAAGTCTAATCTTAAATTACTCTGTACTCATTTGTAGTTTCTTTTTCCTAGTGTATTCATCCATAGCCAGCTAAAAGAGCGAAATAAAATATGGACTTGCTTCTGTTACCTTCTGAATTTTTACTGTATAATGTGCTGATCTACGAGTGCGTAGAGTACGCTCTGCAACGTAAAGCAGCAGTGGAACAGAGATATACATCCATGTCTGAAATCAAAAGGAAATAAAATTGTTTTCAACTTTCTAAGTTGGTGTATGTAGTGTACTACAGACAGCATTCACTTTTCCATGCTTACTTTAGATGGTAGTTGAAATTCTTACCGTTTTTTGGTACCACCCATGAGTCAAATACAAGAATGATCCATGGATGAGAAGCAGAACATAGACGAGGCCAAGAAGGTGGTGTGAGTACCAGAATGCGTTAAAGCCGGTCAATCTGTTAAATGGTGGAGGAAGCTTGACCGCACTTTTCCGGAAGTGGTGAGTTGCCAGAGTGAAAGAGATTGCCATCAAAGTAACCATTAAGATTCCAGTTACGCCTTCTACACCGGTCAGAAGTGTTTTATATGTGGGTTTTTTGTTATTGAAATCTGAAGATATTAGTGAAAATTTTTCTGGAGATGAATTTACGAGGAGGGGAAAATCACATGCCAAATGATTACCAGCATGAACCGCGACTCCAACAGCTATGGCAAACGCAATCATCTGTTAATAAAGACATGTAAAAAGATCCAATTATATACTAACAGAGACGGACACACATAGTTTAATTGCCCCTGCAGCCATTTCAATTTTTCTTAATAATATATATAAATTGCCTGTATGGATTACCTTTAGTATTTAAAAAATTATTCTCTACTCAGTATTTTATGATAATATGTTATATTTTTAATATTACAATTTATATGTATTATTAGTCCCTTATGACTTCAAAATTTCTTGGTCCATCACTATATGGAAATTTAGAACATCCTATTCTGAGTTGACACGACTCTTACCTTGTGGAAATTAATATTGTCATCAAAAGGGACAAATTTCCTGGCTCTGGTAGAACGAAGCCATGTCAATGTGTTTCGACAAACTGGCAAGAGAATTAGAGCCATGTTGAGCTTCAGGGTCTCTGCAGCACCTTTGGCTACTGGTATGCAGTAGCTCATGACTTGGAAAGATGATTTGTTTTTATACTGGTAAAATTTCCAGGCAAATAGGCAACCAATGGTAACCAACCACAGTAACAAAATCCAGCCCCTTCTCCAATATTCTAATGCAAGACATTGGAGTGTCCTCAGGAATCTTTGGATCTCATCTCTGCGCCTCAAACCGCTCATATTTTGACTCCAGCCTACACTTGCGCTGCTGAGTTGTCTGCTGTAGTTCATGTAACTATCCTTTTGTAGCAACAACATTTCTAGCTGCCACAGCTGAATAAAAGACAAAAATTGAAAGGATCAAGAAAGCGTAACGAAAATTATAAACACAACCAAAGGAATCAATAGATGGTTCTTTTCTTCTTAATCTTTTTTAGTTTTAAGTTTTAATCTGTTCTTGTTTTCCTTCTGGCTTTTTCCCAATCTTACCTCTATATAACCCAGGTTTTCTGGATCTAATTCTTCCATTATTAACGCAGCGTATCCTTCAGCTTGTTCTTTAAGCTTCGATAGCTTGTTTGCAGAAGCACTGAGCATTATGAGCTGTTTAATAAAATTGAAAACAGAGAATATGGTCAAAACATTATACAATTAATTACCTTGAGGAAATAACATCAGCAATAAGGAAAATAGCACAGAAGTTAGTCCACGATCTTAGGAATCAATATATGTATATTCATTTTCATTTTTTTTCCCTTTATATACATAATAACGTGCTTTCCATTTTAATTTAATTCGTCTTGATGAAGGTAGGCTACAATAAACTTCTATGGTTTCCTTGAGATTAAGAATGTACGCAATAAAAATTTAGAAGTAATATTATAAGTATTTTTAATAATTTTTTATTTTAATAATTTATCCAATAAAAATGATATTAAATACTATTTATATTATTAAAATAAAAAATTAATTTAAAAGGCTAAAAATATTTATAATATTACCCTCTAACTTTATTATAAACTTAAAGCGATAAAAATTCTATTGATACTACCAAATTAATATTTATCTTCGTATTCTTTTTTACTTCCATTTACCAATTATATAATTAATTTATGAATATTTTAATACGATAATCATTGGGTGTACACACAAGAAATTATATCAAACTTAAATATAATAACAATTTTAATTTTCTAACATATTTTTTCACATTCTATTTATATATTATTTTATGTAACCCAAGTTTAACTATCCATGGGTCACATCAAACTGGGTTTAAGTCAGCTTGAAGTTTAACCTGTTCTTCTAGTTACATCATCTGTACTGTTTGTGTATCTCTTAATATGTTGCTTAAAGCGTACAAGACTTACCTTCCCAATTAAGGTCGTAAACATAAGAGGAATTCTTTTTAACCCAAATATATATATATATATATATATATATATTGCTTTGTGGTTAAAAACTCTTGGAATATTTCATGTTAACAGATACACAAGCCCTTTCCTTTATTGTGCAAAAAATATATATTTTTTTTTCTTGAGCATCTTAAATATTACCTCTTGTACTTCCGCCCTTGTAATTCTTCCGTCTTCGTTACTGTCTGCCCTGAAATAAATAGAACTTTTAATTTAACATTTGAAGAAAAATGTCAAAACTCCACTCTTCGTTCTTCATGTAAGTAATTGCACATTGGTGAAAGGATAATCCGTCTTGATGCTGCAGTCACATTTACACTACTTATCATAATTCAAGGGTCTCCCTCCTAAAAAAATTTCATCTTTTAGACGAAATGTCAGATATATTTTATTTATAAATTAAAATTAAAATGTAATCATTAAATTTTGTCAATAAATAAACACTAAATAATTTTACTTCATTTGTTTCATCAAATTCAGAAATCAATAATTCATAATTCATAATAAACTTGCTGCCTACCGACGGAATAAGCAATTGAGTATAACGTTACAACCACTACTACACAGAATTCAACAAATTACATTTAAATTTTATATACATGATATTTTCAGATTGGGTGGAGTAGGAAATATCACCTTCTTTTTTCTTTCTTTTTTTAACAAGGAAATTGGACTTTAAGCATAAGTAAAACAGTAAGTTTATATTAGATTTTTTCCCCCTCCTTCAACGTTGATTTATAAATATATTAATACTGTTGATTTTCATTTAACATATTCTTCACTGTGTTTTCTATTTCTACTACCCCGAGTTATTAAATTGTATTTAAACTACTTACAGGTCTTTTAACGTGTATTTAAAAAATATATAAATAATATTTTTATTAAATATTATTATATAATATGGTAATATTAAATTATATATTTTTTAAAAATTATTATATATAAATTCTTATTAGGTATTTTTAGAAAATAAATTTGTAATGTTACTTGAAGCAAAATTTATAAGCTGATTTACTTGAATTTAAGTTATTTCTTTAAGAATTTGAATTATCTCCTTTCACAGACACGTGTGTGTGAGAGAAAGAGACAACTTTTGCTCTAGCTAAATGACTATCCTAAACTTCATTTATTTATTCACATAAAATTATATGTTACGATACATATGTGTTGAAGCAAATTAGTCTCAAAAGAAAGATTACAAAATTCAGTGATCATGCCGTTGTTTTTATTGTTTTTCTCTTTTAAATATGAAAAGACAAATAACTATAAACAGTTTTTTCAAAAGATATACACAAGTTAAATAGGTAAATAAATTAAAAAAAAACAAACATTTACAACTATAATGAATGTCAGTTATGAACTAATATTGGAGCACATATCCTAAATTTTAGACAAAGAAAAAACCTATATCATTTTTTGTTATGAAACATTCGGGTTATAATATATTTTTATTATGTTCAATTTTAATTTACTTTCTATATTAGAATAATTTTTTATTGTCACTTTATTCACTTGTTGTCGTAATAATATTGTGAGATTGATATAAAAATAGTATTTTTAATCCTTATTCTTAGTACTTATTCCTAATTTAATCCTTACGTTTTATCGTCTTATAATTCTAAAAGTGGTGTGATAACACTAAGGAACCATGATAACCAAATAAAGAACAAATATATAGAGAGTATAAATTAAATTTTTTTCTATATATAATAATGAACTTAAATAAATGTCACGTATAAAATAGATTATCCAAACATTTAATAAGCTGAGTATTTTCGGACGGTCATTGGAAAAAGACACACTGTCAATGAATGAATCTGACAAAAGACTTACATGTCAAAGAAAATCTGAAGCCGGGCGTCAAAGCTCTGGTCCGAAATTTGCAACCAGAATTGATGCAACTCTTCTTTCGTAATTTTACTCACTTTGCTTTCCTTCCTTCGAGCTAATGCATCAAAAATACAAACAGCAAATTCCTTGGAATCCTCCATCCCTTTCATCAATCCATTTAGCAAATTTATTATTATCTTACTAAAATTGCATTTTGATATTAATTTAACATGCATCTCTTTTAAAATCTATAATTTGTGTTCGATTATGCAGTACTTAAATTATAAAATTATATTATTTTTCTTCTCATGCGAGTAAGGTGATTTTTCATGTACCAAAATGCTTTCATACTCTAGATTAGTTTCTTGGCTTCAAAATAAAAAATGCACAACAGAGTTATAACAAATTGGGTGTTTATATTATTATTTATCAATTAAAAATACTATTTTACTTTAACTAATAATTTGCACGATAAAAGTTAACGTTAAAAATTAATATACCTCTAATTACTGAAGTTTTAAATTATAGTCACCGACATTATTATAAATTATGAAAAAATCACGATATTATAGAAAATTGGGAGTAAATACAACCAATAGCAATCACAATATAATTTTAAAAATCTTAAAAACTTCGATATTAGTAACTCAATTATAGTTTTTGATCACAATTTAAAAACTTTTAATTATCAAGATAAAATTTTAATTTAAACAAAAAAACAGATAATAAAAGTTTTTTTCCAATAAACCTTACCAATGCATTCACCAAAGTCTTCTCTAGCGAGCAACCCATCCTTTGCCAAAAAACTGAACCTTTCTTCCACCTTTCTCCACAACTCGTCACTGGCTTCACCGGACTTGCTTATGAATCTCAAACCTTTCAACGCTCTCTGCGCGCTCGACCTTGTCCGTTCAAGCTTCACTCTCATCTTCCTTGCATTACGCGCCGTCACCACCGGATCCTCCACGGCGGCTACACTCTCCGACGACGCCGACGACATTGACCGAAGCCACGGAAACTTCCTTCTAATCCTCGACGTAATCGAGAGGCTCCGCGCGACAGCTCCACCGCCTAAATCGGTGGCGGCGGCACTCGACGACGGTGAAGCGTTGGGAGCAGAAGCTGATGCCGGCGCCACGTTGCAGAGCACAACGGCGTCGTTTTCAAGCTCCAAGGTGATCTCAACGAGCTCCTTGTGATGGTTGCTCCGCAGGTCGTTGAGGAACACCGGCAACATGGCACCATATGCATGTCCTCCGGCCGCCGGCGAGGAGGTTCCGTAGTTTTCCGGCAAGTCGAATTCGCCGGTGCTGCACCTTCCAAACGACGACGTTCTCATCAGAACGTCACAACCTGGAGTCTATATGGCAATGCGGTTAATTTTTCCTTTTAATTATCGTAGCGAGTTATTCTTTCTCTCTCTAGAAGCAGAGAGAGAGAGAGAGAGAGAGAGAGTAGCTAAAGACAGGGTTTTTGGTTCACACGTTTGGGCGTGAAAGTTTGTATTAAAAAGAAAGAAACGCAAAGGTTGGAAAACAAGACAAACACCTCTCAACGAATTTGCGCACACGATTTCAACGCCAATGTGGCCTTCCCGCACCTATGAGAGTAGTTGGGAAATGGGATCTCTACTATTTCTCTATTCTTTCTTACTCAATAAACCAAAGAGCACACCCCCTCTCCTCTTTTCTTTATATATTGCTTAATCCAGTTGTACGTCTCTTAATAATTTCAGTATCTTTCTCCCATTTTCTAATTCTTTCCTACTTATTCATTATGCACACAAATATTCGTCGCAATAACTTTGCTTAAAATTTTAATCATAAATATACAATACTGCATATACGTCGTTATCAGTAGTTTCTTTAAAGCCTTCATTTGCTGCTACTAGCTCCCACCCTTGCTCTTTTTTTTCTAGATTATTACAAAATTGCAGACAGAGGAAGGGATTTGAGTCTCAAAAATTAAGAAATCAAATTTTAACAAATTAATGATGTGTTCTGTGCGCGGGCACACACACACTGTACATATATCAATTGTCTAATAAAACTTTAGTAAAATGGAGCAGTTAAATTTTGGTTGCCATAATGGAGGCTAGTTCATGAATGATGGATAGGAAACAGGTCAAGGTGTAAGGTAAGTGAAGGCGACCTAGAATTGGATTAACTAAAGCTAAATTAACGTAAGCATTGGTCTTGGAGAAGGAGAAAGCAGAGTTGAAAATAAAATAGTAATTGACTAGTTAGTAAGAATAGGGTAACATCGTTGTTGTTTGATTAATGTTAAATAATAAAATACAATCTAGTTGTGTTGTTCGATCGTGTCCCCCACTTCCCAAATCAATTTTTATCTATTAATTTAACCAGAATGATATCTGTCACAGCTCAAGAATTGTTAGCCATAGATAAATTCGTTATCATTTTTTCTTCAATATGATTATGATTATTGTTGCTTGAAATACACAAAATCTTGTGTTTATGCTTGCTTTAATTAAATTAAAGATTGTAATTAAAAACCAAAGATACATGTACTACACTGTATCAACCGCTGGTAGGGGAAGTACTTTAGGCAAAAAGAGTAGTACCAGAACATTAACCGGATTTTGAGATTCTGATACTGGAAACTGCAATTGCCCATACATGCCATGAATTATTCTAGAACCATCCGCATATTAGCATGCCTGCTACGGCAACCTCATTCTGGCATCTGCTATCTTATTTAACATTACATACTTTCACATGAAGCAAAAGACATTTAATTTTTTTTAAAAATAAGTTAAAAAGTTATTACTTAAAAATTATAAATTACTTACATAAACTTAATTATTATATTTATCAATTTTGATCTCTTTTACATGTTTGACTTAAAAAAATGTTGTGACACAAAATTAATTAACTCCACAACATTTGAGTTTATCATCACATCATCATAATTTAATGATGATTTAAAATATAAGAACAAAAAAACTATATAAAGATCAAAATTAGGTATATTTTAATTTAAATATATACTTATAAATATTATATATCAAAATTGTATTATAGTATATTCTTTTAAAATGTTTTAACTTAATTATATAATTATGAATGTTATATATTTAAAATTTGATTCATTTAAAATAATAAAATAATAATTTTATTATATAATGTCAACAAATTTATAATTAAATATCAATAATCAAATATATTAATAATTATAAATTTAGGAAATAAGATTATTAAAAGTAAACTTCAAATTAGAAAAAAAATAAGAAAATTTTTATATTTATTAAGTATTAATAAAAATTTTACAATTTATATTAAATAATAAAAAATTAAGTAACAATTTTAATCTTAAAAAATTTAAAATAAATAAATATAAAAGTGGTAAAAAATAAAATTATTTTAACAAAAAAATTTAATTAATTTACATATCATTCTCCATTAATTTTAATATTAAAATGTATACATAACGTATTCTAAAGAAGAATAATTACATAAATTTATCACTTATTCTCATTTATAATATATAAATAAAGTAAAAGTATCACTCTTATATTCTAAATATTCATATGATATATACAAGTATTAATTTTTTTAAAAAATAAATTGCAATTCAAATTTATATATATGCGCGCGCGACACATGAGAATATTATAAAAAAATTATATACAATTTTTAATATCTAAATGCTGGAAGCAGACGTTTATATCAAATAAAAATAAGATAAAAAAATGAACGTTTACATGTAAATTTTTTGTAAAATTAAATAAATATTCAAGAAACGGGCATCAAAATTATAATTTTAATTATCATATAGAGTATTTAATGTAAATTTTTTTAGGTAAATTAGATATGTTACTAAATAGAAAATCTTCCATAAAAAAAACCTGTAGTTTGTAGTTTAAATATGTTATTTTATATATTTGATTATAATCTGATGTTAATATTTAAGATACTTAATTTAATATTGATTTTGTGCTTTCTAATTAGTGTCATTATAATATTAGAGTGTATTTTATAAGACATTTTAGCTAGCTAATCCATTTAATAAAAGTAATATTATTTGATAAAATACCTGAAATGAGTAGTTTTGTTTTAACGATGTTTTATTTATTACTTGTCTTCAAATACCCTTGTCCAACTCTTCATATTGTAAATTATTAAGGGAGATCTAAGTTCTTTCACTACATCTATTCCATATGATATATAGCTTAATTTATTCATTGTATAGGGATCTCACATTTTTCAGTTTATCTTTTTAGTATATTTGATACCCCATCTTATATATCTTCTTTTATTTGTTGATGAATATTGTTTTTCACAAATATGATTAATTTGTTAGAGAAAAACACTACAATGGATTCATCCATTGTTCCTTTTAATGAGATTTCCATTTTCATTTTAAATTTAAAACTAATTCATTCATGTACACAAAGTTAATTTAGTCTTCACATCAATTATTTTTAAAAACTTGGCTTATCTATTAGCATTTAGGATTGTTTATAATAATTTGTATTCCAAATTTTTGAACTGTTTAATTTGTATGAATTATTTTAACAAAATGCTTGTATGTTTTCATTCTTTACTACATAAACAGTTTTTTTTTTTTTAATTTAAACGAGAAAAAAGGGAGAAACTCGTGCATTAATTAAATTCTTAATATCATTACTATATATATATATATATATATATATATATATATATATATATATATATTAGATTATCAAGAATTTTCTTACGACAAGTTGTCAAATGATAGGTTGTTTATTATTAAACCTAAAGTGAATTTATTTAGATGATGAAAAATTATCAAACATGGCGATGAAATAGCAAAGGACGGCCTTTTTGACGGCCTTTTATTTTTCAGGGAAGACACATTATAAAATTGTCTTCATTATTATTACAGTAGTCAATCATTTTTCTAGGGATCAATTAGATCGCTATGAAAAAGGAAACAAGATAGTGCAAAGCTTTATTGAATCATGTTTTTCAAGAGGATTATAAATATAAATTAGCTAGTACGTACCTAGAGCAACGTGTATAAATATAATCTAACTTTATTGAATCATGTTTTTCACAGTCAACTAGGTTTGTGATTGGCTTATGACGTAATTCACGTAAACTATAACTTCATGTACAGAGCACATAGAACATTAAATTAGGAACATGTAGAACATATATATAACCAAGCTAACCACCTAGTTAACTGTGAAGGCTTTTATCTGTAGTTTTCTCAACTGTAGTGGTTGTATTGGAACTTTTGGATTGGCTTGTAATCAGGAGGGAAGCCATGCTTGAAAGTAGCAAGGTTTCAATGGCGTGGTTGGTCCTTTCATAGTGAATGCACACTTTGTTACAAGGATTTTGACCTTCTTCCTTTCCAAGTGTGCCGTATCCTCTACCAAAGACAGCAACCAGATATGAACTTGAGGCAAATGTTTTTTATTCCGATACAGGTTCTGTTGGTGCTGTTGTGTTCATTTGTTTCTTTATTGAATAACAAGTGATAACGTTTTGTTGATTAAGGGAAGAGGTTATAGGAGCAAAATATCAAAATAATTTTTTTAATGTATATCCAATCAAGAATAATATTTTTCTTTAATTGGACATTTTTTGTGTTAAAATATTTTCAATGATCTAACCATGTACGCGATTCCAAGTTTTTCATATCGCGAGGCTCAAATAATATACTTGGACATTTTTGTGTTAAAATATTTTTCAATTATTTTTGGGAAAATTTGTTAAAGGGTCCTTGTCTTCTTATCTTCATTTTTTAATTTTATAAATGGAAACTAATTAATAACGAGTCGAAAGAGCTGTCTCAAAGATAATAAGAGGAGGTTGGCTTCTCAGTCTCACAACTCAACCAATTTAATTTGACTTTGAATACATAAACTGTTGTTTTCAACTATATATAATTTCTAGTAAAGCGTTTGCTTCATTCATGATTTATTTTCATAGGCTAGAATTGGTAGCTATTTACTCTAAACAATTCTTTACCAATGAAACGAATACAACATAATAGTCCAGATTATGTTTCAACTACTATCCCTTTCCCTTGTTTTTACCTTTGATAAACCATGTCTGTCATGTGTCATTAAATAA